TAACTTTCACTTCACACATTTTGCAAAATAAAATTTCTCCGTCAGTACTAAAATATTTGTCACCAAACTCTTTAATAAAACCACGCAACTTCACGCTATTAGAGCACTTGAGTTTAGGCATCTTGAAACTATACTGAACAACTGAAGTTATGAATACAGTACTGTATTGGACGGGTTTCGGGGAGAGTGTAGAAATTTACCGCTTTGTGGATGGAAAAATTTTTCACCAATATGCAAGAAACAAACTGGACTTCAGGTATCACTGCAGTGGAGGAGAAAAAGAGACACAGACAGACAGAGGCAGAGGTAGCAATTTCTCTTTTCAAAGTGGTTGATTCTACGCCAGGTCAAGAACCGTTACCCTTCACACTGTACAGTATTCCTTCAAATCCCGTTACACAAGGCCAAATATTTCTAAGAAATGAAGTTCCAAATAACATCGTTGCCAATACTTGCAAATATATTTCTGAGCAATAAGTGAAACTCACCTAAAATATGACCAAAAATATGATTTTATATCACTTCGGGCCCAAATATGACCTAAAGCTAAAATATGGTTTAAATATCCATTTATATGACCAATAAAAACCATATTTTCATGTTCACAAGAGTCAGAAATGCATTTATATTTAATTATACATGTGAAAAGATGCCAGGATAAAAATATGACATGTCATAGAAATCCGAGTCCTAGTTATAAATATGGTTTATCATTCTAAGAGATGAACAGAGGTTGAGGATGTTTGAAAACAAAGCACTAAAATGTTTGTACCTAAGAAAGTTGAAATAACTGTAATATAAAGAAATTGCATAATATGGAAGCTCCTATTATATATTCACTTAATATTGTTATTGATGATAAAATTCAATAATGATCTATTGGAAGAGGCATGTAGAAAGCTGGTGAAAGCGATAAATGTATATATTAAAGCTTAAAACAGAAAGTCTCACAGTAAGAGACCACCTCAGACTGTGTATGAATGGTAAGATACCATGAAAAGTCATCTTAGGCGAAGAGGTTATGAAGGCGTAATTGAGATTCAATTGACTCATGATAGGATACAGTAGCAGGCCTCTGTGAATGTAGAAGTGAAACTTTGTCTGCCATAGCATTAGGAAGTTTCTTCACCAGCTGCTTAAGGAAGATCCTGCACTGTGAAATTTGTTTGTTCTTATAAAAACTCTTAATTTGTTAAATGATACAAACTCTGTCCCAAGTGCAAACAATATATATTTATATGTCTTTGATCTTGTTCTTTCTGCACTACATGTTTCGGCCTCTATCGGCCATCATCAGGTGTATACTCTTAACGTTGCTGCCACACTGAACCCAGTCTAAAACTTAACATTTAAAAACACAATGTCACATTCTTCGTATTATCACCATCTACATCGTTGATATGTGTCTGGTATGTAGATTATGTTGCACACGTCAAACCCGATATTCTTGTAGTAGCACTCTAAAAATCTTTAGTTATGATGTTTTTAAAACCTTTTAAAATTTTCTCTAAATTTTAAATTTAAAATTTAAAATTCTTAGGGTTACTCGCCCTATGTCTAAGTGCTGGAGCGGCTAGTTCTTGTTTTCACACTGTACAGGTGTTATCTGTAATATACAAATATTCGTATTATTATTTTATGTACGTAATATTTTCTGTACGTAATATTTTCTTATGTGTGTATATTGTTATTTGTACTTACTTAATGTAGTCTTCTTGTGTGGGTGCCGCTGCTTGTCTGTACTACGTGTGCTGTCTGCTGTATTGTGTGCTGTGTTTTATGTTAGTGAGTGTAGGGGGGAATGGGTAGTGGGGAGAGAGAGGTACCGTTAGTCTGTGTAGATTTCGTGTATCGTTTGAAATATGGGATTGTGTGTTTCTATGTGTGTATCATTCATGTGTAAGCCTTTCTTACTTATTTTATATATATGGTATTTCTCTAATGTATTTAAATGTCTGCCCTTCTTTCCCGTTGTTACAACTTCCATTACGTCTGTTATTGTTCCGTATGCATGTCCTGTATTTAGTATGTGATTTGAGTACCCGGAATTGCTATCATTATTTCTAATATCATGTATATGTTCTTTATATCTAGTGCTAAATGTTCTGCCTGTTTGCCCAATGTATTTCAATGGGCAATCTACACATTTCATTTGGTATATGCCACTTTTATTGTATTTATCTAATTGTGATTTTTGTTTGAGTATATTTCCTATTGTGTTTCGTGTGCGGAATGCTACTTTTATCTGTGTGTCTTTGAAAAGTTTTGTAACTTTTCTCACTTCTTTTGTACTATATGTAAATGTGGCCCACTTTGTTTTATGTTGTTCGTCGTCATGTATGTTTGGTTTTTGTTTTCGTGTTGTCTGATTTAATCTATTGATTATGTTTGTGCTGTATCCGTTGTTATGTAGTATGTTTTTAATAATTTTAAATTTTAAATTTAAAATTTAGAGAAAATTTTAAAAGGTTTTAAAAACATCATAACTAAAGATTTTTAGAGTGCTACTACAAGAATATCGGGTTTGACGTGTGCAACATAATCTACATACCAGACACATATCAACGATGTAGATGGTGATAATACGAAGAATGTGACATTGTGTTTTTAAATGTTAAGTTTTAGACTGGGTTCAGTGTGGCAGCAACGTTAAGAGTATACACCTGATGATGGCCGATAGAGGCCGAAACATGTAGTGTAGAAAGAACAAGATCAAAGACATATAAATATATATTGTTTGCACTTGGGACGGAGTTTGTATCATTTATCGTGTAGAGTGCAACAGGATGCTTAAATATAATATTCTTAATTTGTTCTTTGGTAGAAATTATATTTGAGTAAGAGCTTTAGTTGCTAGATCAGTGGTGCTGTGTTACCTGCATAAGTTACATGACATGCTGCTTTCTAACTGCATCTTTTCCCTGTTGTAGACCTGTGTGTGTGAGGAGAATTACCTGTTTCTTGGGTCCAGGCTGGGCAACTCGCTGCTGCTCAGGTTTACAGAGAAGGAGCAGAGCACTGTGCTCACATTGGAGGAGAAGACATATGCTGCAAAGTCTGACCAGCCAGTGAAGAAGAAGCGACTAGATACACTAGGTATGTTGTATCCTGGTGAGCATGTATTTTCTTGCGTACCTTATCTCAGTAGATTCTCATGTAAAAACTATCTAAAACTAGGATTCTAGACAAGGTCTGAAGCTTGTTAAATTAAGAATGCCGTGGTATGAACACTTGTTATGCTTGGACAGCAGTAGCATTTTATTGACTGTAAGTAGTTTAATAGAAATAAGTACAAGTTTTACCTTGCATGTTTTGGCCATTATTGTCTCTCATTAGAAGGCATAACCAGCAGTGTGTGAGCTTGTGTGTATGCACATGCATGTAATTCTTGCCTGCTAGTATAAGAGGGCTATGCAGGTCATTGTCTCTATTTAGAATTTCTGGTGATATTGTACCCCAGTCCCCACTAAACCAGAAACATGTTACGTTTTATACCTCTGTTATTTTGTTTCAGCTGACTGCAGAGGTCAGTGGTTTTGTTCAGAACTTTACATCGAGCCCTCACTTTCCATCCACACCCCATCCCAACTCCAACTTTTATTTGTTTTGGTCATCTTTGATGCATTCAGGTACTGCTGTCCCAGAACTTAATTGTCTTCGCCTGTAAATCCTTGAATAGTCATGAATGGAATACTGAGGGAATGATTTATGATAAGGACATACCTGGAACCTGAATCTTTTCATTTAACAGTGACCCTCTTAACACAAATGTTTATAACCAATTTACAGCAGGAATTTGATTTGTTTCATTCTGGTCTGTCACACTAATAATATCATGAAAAGTTGAACAGTTCCATCTGGTGTGACTGGTGAAGATTTTTCTTATTTCAATTATTCATGCCCTTACATGTTTCAGTCTTCAGAGACCATCATCAGAGGAACAGCTTTACATCCATACAGTTAGAAGCTACTATTATAATATATGTTCTGAAAGTTAAAATGTATACATAAAATATTGATAATATACAATTGGGTATAAAAGCTGAAGTCTTTACAACTACAGCGGCTGTTCCAATACATTAAAATATTTATGATTGGTTGGTTAACCTTCCAGTGCCGGGCGATGTACATAGCACATCGGCATTTAAATGCCACATCTCGCCGAGTGATGTCGTGCTTCTTGTGCTGCTTTTCATGTAAAGTAATACTTTAGCTATGAAATGAAAGAGGAAATTTCTGTTTATCATTTCGTATATTCGTTATACCACTTTGAACTTCCCGGGGTATTTTTTTTTTTCATTAGAAGTCTCTCAAGAAGTTTTGTAGCTCGCCGTCTAGGGTGCAGTATTGCCTTACAAATCTATCTCCATCTGTTGGAGAGTTAGGAACTAAATATGCTAGGTTTATAGTCTGTGATCTTGCGTGTTGGTCGAAGCAAAGTCTGTGCTCTCTCTGCATGTTGGTCGAAAAAAAAAATCGATTTCCATTCAGCCAGTGACGAGTGCTGCCTCTTGAACGGAATGAGAAACCACGTGTAGAAAACCTAACAAGAAAGATACATGACACTGACCTCTCATATGACAGCAGTTGGAAATGATAAACAAAAGGGAACCTCAAGGAATGCAAACAAGGCATTTGCCTTGTTTGCATTCCTTGAGATTCCCTTTTGTTCCACATAGCTAATGCGGTTTGCATGTAGTAGCCATGGCTGGAACAAGCAAGAGACGTTCGTGTGTGTTGAGTGATGAGGACATACAGTGTTTGGTTGAAAGTGATTCGGAACAAAGTCTATCAGATTCGGATTTTGACTCTGAAAACGAGTTAGATGATCGTGATTTGATGGATGCTGTTGGAAATGAGGGCAGCGATGAAGATAACAGTGCAAATCAAGAATTCGTTTGGGAGGATATGCAGAACTATAGGGGTCAGAGAGAACATTTCACGGGCAGTGTCGGAACTCAAGGCCCTGCGAAAGACGTAACGGAAATTGTGGACGTTTTCAAGTTGTTTTTCGACAAGGAACTTATTGAGACCATAGTCGCAGAAAAAAATAGATACGCGGAGCAGTTTCTACGGGGGCGTGAACCATCAGCGAGGTCGCATTCTAAGGCATGGAAACCCGTGACAGAGGGAGAGATTTATGTTGTCTTGGGTTTGTTCATGCTCATGGGCATTGTACAGAAACCAACTCTTTGGTCTTATTTTACAACAAAAAGAGTAATTTTAACACCGGGATTTAGAGACATTATAACGCCAGACAGACTGGAGCTAATACGTAAATATTTGCATTTTGCCAACAATGAAAACATCAGCATTTTTGAAGGACCCAAAAAACTTTTCAAAATCTACCCAGTAATTTTCCATCTCAATAAGAAATTTCAGGAACTCTTTTCTCCCAAACCAGGACATTTCAGTTGACGAATCTATAACACTTTGGAAAGGCCGTCTGTCTTTCAAACAGTACCTCCCTCTGAAGGCAGCCAAATTTGGAATTAAAACTTACGAGTTGTGTGACTCCACCACTGGGTATTTATGGTCATTCATTGTATATACAGGCAAGGATACAGAACTTCACTCCCCCTTGATCACAGCGGACACCAACAAAACTTCAGCCATTGTCCTGAAACTGGTAGAACCTCTCCTGAATCAAGGTCGGACTCTGTGGGTAAATAATTTTTACAATTCCCCAACTCTTGCCAGTGTACTGAAGATAACGCACAAGACCGACTGTGTTGGCACTCTGAAATTGAATCGTAAGAATGTGCCTCCAAAAGTGAAAAACACTCAACTGAACAAAGGCGAAATCGTGGAACAACATTCTGGACCCGTTTATGTCACAAAGTGGTTTGACAAAAAAATAGTCGCCATGATCTCCACCTATCACAGTCACGACACCAGGACTGTTACAGTTAGAGGCAAGGAGGTGGCGAAACCAGTTTCAGTATTGGACTGCAGTAAGTCAATTTGAAGGACCAGCTGCTTCACCCTTATTTGATCGAGAGGAAGCACATGAATAAGTGGTACATGAAGCTGTTTCGCGGGCTCCTAAATGCCTCAATTCTGAATTCAATGATAGTGTACAGGAGTAACACAGGCACATGAATTCAGCAATTATCATTTAGAATTCAGTTGATTGAGGGAGTGTACAGGAGTAACACAGGCACATGAATTCAGCAATTATCATTTAGAATTCAGTTGATTGAGGGAGTGTACAGGAGTAACACAGGCACATGAATTCAGCAATTATCATTCAGAATTCAGTTGATTGAGGGCCTGTTCATGAAATATGTGAGTGCTGTGGAACATAAAGTGCCGGGTTCACATCCATCAGACAACACAGTGCCCCGTCTAACAGAACGACATTTTATCAGCAAAATTCCTCCAACGGCAATAAAATCTAGACCACAGAGAAAGTGCGTTGTGTGTCAGAAGCACGGGAGGAGAAGGGACACAGTGTACTGGTGTGATGTGTGCGGCGTGGGCCTCTGCATTGAGTGTTTCTGCGACTACCACACGCGACTGAATTTTTAAGGTAATGCAATACTATTGGTCATAATTTTTATACGCTTACTGGCCCAAAAATAATTTTAAAGTAGTGTGGATCAATACTCTAATTCTGTATACTTCTCTGGATGTTGTGTGAAAATCTGAAAAACAAAACTCCAGTTTTTCCCCATTTATTAGGCATTAAGTTAAGTGCGGCATTCTCCGATTTAATTATTTAAATAGCCGCCGGCATTGGAGTGGAAAAACGATTTAAACGCCCCCGGCACTGAAGGGTTAAGACTATTGGAATTCATAAACCAAGCAGGTTCGTATCATCCCTCTTATTATTTTTTTGATGGGGGCCGAATTTGTGCCACATTATGGGTATATTGTATTATTTCAGCAATCCTATTATGTTTTGTAAAAACTTTTGTTATTTTGTCCTACCATTGATGTTGCCCTGTATGTGTTTATGGCACACTGTGTTGTTTTTACTGTTTTAGGGTGTGTTATACCGCATATTTATACTCCTTGTGTTTATGACGCTAGTGTGGGCATGTACTGATGTTGTATTATGACGTCGAACGTGTTATACTGGTTATCACTTTCCTTTGTGTGTTTTTGTTCTTCCATCAATTTGTTGAGCTTATTAAAGTGATATATATACGATATATATATATACGTATATATATATATATATATTGTCGCGTATCGGGCGTATAACGCGACAAATAACTTCACGCCGTATTTTATATAGCGAATCTTATTTCACATNTACGTTACAACTGGCTCGTAGCTGCTATGCAGTTCTCTTATATAGCCGCAGTGTTGCCTGTTGCGTGCCACATCACAGTAGGAAGCGGTGCCCCGTCACCGTGTTTGCGTATAGCCTAGCAACGCTGTTACCTCGTGCCGTCTTACGTCACCGCGCGTTGCGCGTTACATTACCGTGTGGAGGGGGGGGGGGGGGGGGGTTGACTCATCCACCCCGTCA